CCGCGAAGGACAACTTTATCCGCGCGGCGCTTTTCCTCGAGGGCGATTTTTAAATCCCTTCCGACGTGCTGCAAGTGCGCGCGATCATCTGTCCGCCGTCGATCGGAATTTATCGATCCTACCTTTGCCTGCTAAGCTTTTGTCAGCATGCGATCGCGTTTCGCGCGACGCGATGTCGCGACGTGAATACGGATTCGAGAGATTTTACGGTGTCTCGCGCGGAAACTCCGAGTTTGACCGGCTAAATTGCATGAGGATACATTCATTAATTTTATTTTGTTCTCTCTCTCTCTCTTTATCTCTCGTAATTTTGTTAATTGTTCGGTGTATTTACGTCTTGGTAGCATAATTTTAGCATGACGGAGCATTCGACGATCTACTCTGAAATTAGTTGTACATTTGCACAAATTTTTCTATATAAAGAGATTCTAGAGATAGAGTGCTGTCTCTCGAGAATGTTGTTTAACAAATGATCCAACTATTTTGCGACGATCAGCGTTTCATTACTTACGGTTGTTTCCAAAGCCCTATCTTCTCAGGCGCTAGCTGCTAACATAAAGTGTGTTTGTAGGGAACGAGGATATTTTAAAATTGCATTGCTGCCTAGTATACCGCGATACCTTTCATTTGGTCGTTTCTTTGCGCTGGAGATAGTCCGATAATCTTTAATCCGTATACATGAGCTAAAATCTTCATACACTCGTTTCATTTCATCACAGCGACAAACGATGGCTATCGGTAAAATCTAGTCGAATCAAGTCATTGTGACAAGTATACCGAGTAATGGCGTACTCAATACAGGATTTCTGCTATATCTGAAATTATCACAGAATCTTTTTTCACCTCGAATAGAGTACAGAGTAGACATTCCTTAAAACTAGCTAGTATCGTTCAGCATTTATTAGCGACTTGTTAGATTTCTGTCTCATTTTGGTGATATAATATCATATAATACAATTTGTCGTCGTGTCGATCGATTGGATAATGAAATTTCTTCCATCAGAGAAACGGGCCCTTCTTTTCGGTTCGATAACATAAGTGATAACATAAATGAAATAAAAGAGTGGTTTTTAGCGCGAAGACGCGACTGTAAAACTTTAAGATGCGTTTCTGGCGGAGAAGCTCGCCATGGTGCCCGCGAGAGAAGAAAATGTCGCAACAAACTCATAATGCAGTAAGTAGGTATTTCGTGCGTTGCCATAAAAACATTCCGAATATATCTCTCATGGCATGGCACATCTGAATGAAGAATAAACTCCAAAGAGAAATCAGCGATGCGTACTGTCTTTGAAAGCTCCGTCCTTAGACCTTGTCGCCGAAATAGGGGATCCATTATTCATCGGCAACTTCGCAGGATTTTTCTCGTGCAAGCCCTCGGACATTTTAGTAAGTGAATTTTACTATGCAGACGAGACTGCGCGTCGAGGAGGGAAATAGCGCGCGGAATATTCACCTACAACGCGCTGCACTTTTACGACAACTAGCGACGAAGGTTATACGAAGGATTCCTTTCTTATCCGACGCACGGGCTAGCGATTGCTTTTTCTGCGCTATATATATATATATATATGTATATATGTATATGTATATGTATATATATGTGTATATATGTATATTCGTGCTTCTTTGTGACCTATTGAGAGATACGCGGTTCTGTATTTCCAAAAGGATAACTCGCGCCGCGCGGATCTCTTTAGATTTCGATGTCGACATTATCCCGTAACGTAGAGCGTAAAATTGAAACGACTCGCTTTACAATAGATTATCGAAATAGAAGTTTCACAAAGGGAAAGAGGTAACGTAAACGCGATATCTTTGAATTTACTAAAGTTTATTGTACCGTCACCTAATTATACATTCATATCTTAATGAGCCGTGCGGCGCGCGAGATCACGATTCTCTTTTAGATGTCGACGTTATCCCGCTACGTGGAGCGTAAAATTGAGACGATTCGCTTCATGACAAATTATCGGGATTGATATTTATATTGATAAAGGGGATAATAACGAAATGGTGATGTCTCCGTATGTCTCTAGTGAAGTTTATCGTAGCCGTGCGATTGCACATTGATATCCTAAAGCGTTACTTTTCGCGAATTAACTCGCGCGATCGGCTTTGTTATTTTACCGGTCAATACCGGCCGCTGCGTCTACGTGAAACTGGAAGTAATTCTTTGACGTGTGTCCGTACATGCAGTCGCTTCTAATTAGAGATAATAGATACGTCTCGGGGCCCCGCGTTACGCGCGTTGCAATATTTACTCTCTTCCTCTTTATTTGCGGATATGTACCTCGTGGCCTGACGACACTGCCACTTTTTGTTATTCTGGAAAATGTTCAGGTCTTTTTACGGTAAACCAATTTTTTGTTCTTTACAATCAAGCGGCTCGTCCGCTTTGTTTCTCTATTTTTAGCTCATTTAACTGCGCGTGGCGTTTCTTTCTTTTCGTTTGTACAAAGTAACGGGCACGCTGTCCTCTCACATGATCGCGTTAGTTGATCGTTATTCGCGTTTCAAACAATTAAGTCTGATACGGCTCTAATTAAGCCGGCTCGATTCTCATTTCTTCAACATCCGTATCCTGTTCTCCATTTAGTGTGCATCACTGTTAATCTAAGACAGAGTACGAAAAAGAGAAATAACGTTACGAGTGATCAGCGGGATTTTCTGTGCAAAATTTGGAGCGCGTAACATCGCCTAACACCGATCGAAAAAGGAAATAAAGGTGCTGCAATGTTTGGTAAAAGTTTGGTAAGAAAATTAAGCTTTGACGCGACACGCACACGCGGCGGTACATCGATATTTTCTTTTCGCGAGAAACAGAAGAGCACGCTCGAAGGTGCGTTCTATCACGCTCGCAACATTACATAGCGTACCAGCGAGTGTGCTCTGAGTACGCAGTGTGTGTCGTCGGTATTATTACCGTCTTAACGAGCCCGTCTTTTAATTCGACGGAGCAATGTGCGAAATTCTCAGGAATTATCTGCAATCCTCGTCGCACGCGACGACGTGGAGCGGCAGGCGGGCGGGCGGGCGGAATCGTTTCCGTGTGCATGCTCATCAGTCTACCGAGGACAACGTGTTGAGGCATATAGGAAAGCGGGGAAACTTCGCTACAGCGAATTTCCATTTAGAGAGATTTCGCGATACCCCGGGCAGAGCCCGGTGCTTTAAGTCTTCGCGGATTGGCGCAAGATAAGAACAACTTCTAGCGCTTTCTTCCGTTGCAGATTGAAAATAAGTAGGTACAGATTGTGTGATAATTCGACTCTCGTGCCGCGCTCCGTGCCGCGGCCATTTGTTTGGCCCTTTGTTAACGAGACAAGCCTCGGCCGGGACACGATAGTTATCAGCTTCTCTCTCTCTCTCTCTCTCTCTCTCTCTTTCTCTGTTAATTCACATTGTTTCTCCGATTTGTGTTAGGAAACGAGCACATTTTTACCGGCGAGGCGCCGACGTGTAACGCCGTTCGCAGGGAGTAGATGTGGAGACACGATTTTTCCTCGGTAACTTTTTTATGTCCAATAGAACGCCATAGGTAGACGCGCGCGGGATATATGTACACATAATTATTCTGCAATGCAAATATGTAAGCAGTTTTTCTGGTCCGTGGGTGTACACACTCGGCGTTAAATGGCGACTGTCTGACCGCAGAGTGAAATAACGTGATCTACGTGTGCGAAGCTCGGAATCACAGATGGTTACATCTTACGCTAAACGCACGCAGTAACGCACGGAGTAAGGGCCCTTGCGTGTAAAATCACGTTATTATGCGCAAGTCGTAATAACGAGACTGTGTTAACGCGAGAACGGGGAGAAGGGGGACGCAGGCGCGACTAATTAAGCAGTCCTAATGTCTCGTAACGTAAGAAACGATATTAAGAGCTGCAGTTGGTTAGAGAGCACGCGCGGTTTCCGCGTTGTAATGAGATAACAACAGTATCGTATATTAATAAAGGCCGATACGCGCGGAAATTGCGGTTTCGGCATCGTGCGTGTCCTTCGACGTAGGGCTTCGGCGTGGGCCAAGGGTGAATTGCAAAGGGCGGTCCGAGGCCATTTATTATCCCCATTATCGTGCTTCTGACCTCACTGTCTGCTCCCTCAGGACTCGAACACACCTATAACATACAATCCCCTTTCACTCTCGACAATGCTGCCCTTGTCTCGCTGTCGAAATATAGTCGACAGCATCGATAGCTGTGGAACCATGTTCGATCGTGTTTCAGCGAGCATTTATCTGTCCGCTATCTACGACAATGTATTGACAAGCGAACATTCTGATCGAGAGGTTTTAATTAGTGGTGTCAATATATATCTCAGGTCTCGAGATGATATGACAGAGTTATCGTGGCACGCTAGTGCGCGGGTCATACGGTCATTTTGCTTTTATGAGATTATCGATTTTTTTTAGCGATGATAAGTAGCGATAATTTCGACAGCAGGTTCATCGTTATTCACTCGTAATTACTTACTAGGAAATTGAAGGTATTCTCCATACGCATTTATAATGCATTCTCAATATTTACCAAGTTTTCAGTCTATTGGATTCTCGAACGCTTATATGTTTACAAAATCCGTCATTTTGACTTGTTGTTAGCAATTTGCAGTTGTAGTACGTATATTTATCTCGATACAATTAGCGAAACGAATTTAAGGCGTTTGAGTAACGGGCAGATATTGATATGTGTGTAGTTATCGGCAACTTTAGATATTCGAGTATCGGGGGAGCCACAACTCGGTTTCCGAGTATACAGGTCCTCGGATAATAGCGGATAAATAATATTGTTTATGAAACGAGAGAGAGTAAGAGAGAGAGAGATTATATATATATATATATATATATATGTGTGTATGTATATCTGCAGGAATAATAATTATTGAGTTGATATTGACTGCCGTAATTTTAATATTCGCTAAACCTGATCATAATTTAGTGATATTTCTCACAAGACTGTGTACGTGTATTTGCGGGAAAGGAATAAGCTATTCAAAGAAGATGTCATTAAGATGTCATTTTATTATAGAACTTGTGCCCATGTTTATTTGTTGCGCTATATTTTATAGCATTGTTATTCAAATGTATGCATAGCAGATTAGTCTATACATAACACATCTAAGATTTGCATAATTTTTTTTGTAAGAAATGTTTTGTGTTATTTTTAAGTAAATATATCCGTCCCAGGTTCTTCTTTACATTACACGTTGGATTACCGTTATATATGTTGAAATTCGTAAACATCACAATATATCAATAAGATATTTTTGAGATGTCAGTCGATTTCTAACTTGTTGAATGTCCCGTTAATTCCGAATAATTCATCCGCATTTATTACGCTATTAGTTCGTAGAGACTCGTTGCTCTTAACTTTTTCTTGCTCCAGTAACCATTCCCTTCGTTCCAACAATTTCGCATACCACATATCTGGAATAAGATAACATCAAAATAGAGTCAGAAAATTTCGAGCTACCTTCCTATGTCCGAATAATGACTATTTAAATTTCTTAGTCTACAGATATTAACGGATTTATATATTATGGGGAATTAATAATTGTTGTTAGTAGATATCGAAGAAGGGCAGACATAATTTTTCATAAAAAGGAAAACTGAATTGAAAGTATACCATGCTTCTGATCTGCGCGATTTGACTTTTTTACACACATTTAAATTGAAATTATAAAATTGTTAAGAAATCTATGTATTCGTAATATCGATTGATGCAGTACCTGTTAGGGCTTCTATTGACGGTTGCTCACCGCCATAATCTGAGGGTAAATTGGACTTTGATATTATTTCATATATTGATTCTATTCCGGATTCGACAACTTTCATCTAAAAATGTCACCTTTGATCAAAATCTCACAATCTGATTTGAAAATTACATGTTTGCATAATGACAATTATATCACAGATATGAATTTTTTGAATGTTTGTGATATCATTTTGTACTTACTCTCCCATAAATTTTTGGGCTCATAAACGCTTTGATTATTTTTAAGATTCTATCGATATAAGATGATGCGTTTATTATATAAATACTTTTGTATCTCAAACCGTATGCTTCCTGAACAGTTTGAACAAATCACAAATTAATTTGAGCAAGACATTATATAGTGCATATGAAGTGAGATTACTTACCAAACAAAGGTCCAACTTTCTTACAAGGTTTGGTGTATATTTGAGCAAATGATTAAGAGTTAAATAAATACAATCAATTATTAAAATATCAGAATTTACCATGTCTTCCTCTAGACGTACGTCTGTTAACATGAATATGTATCTGTAACGTGAAGAAACAATATGATACATATCTTTCATCTATTTTATTTTACTTTTTCATTTTCAATGAATTTGTATATTCTATGGACTTGTCTTACGTTCGTAAAATCGCAACGAGAAAATCTATTTAATTTTTACGGTGATCTAATTTTTATTATAATTGATAATTCGAAAAAATGCAATCATCAGTGAAGATGTACATTCTTTATAATTCTTTATAATTTTCTTTATAGTTTTTTCTGTCAAAAACAAACAGAACAATTGTTATTCGTTAAATTTCATGACATGATCAGTCCTGAGTTTTCTATGTTATTTGAAACTGCGGATATATAAGAGCACGTGCGAAAAATGCTACGATTTAAACAGTTTCGCGAATTTCATGCACTTTCCCTTCTCATATCGTTTCGCCAAAGTCATCGATATCAGTTTTTCCTCTCGATATGCGTCATCAGGTAAAATGTAACTGTGGCGGTAGGGAGAGACGATGAGTGTGCAAGTATCTTGTTTCTATCTCATTATCGATAATAGCAGGCGAGAGAGAATGAGGAGGGAGACAGACAGAGGAGGTTGCGTGTTTGGTTTTACGGGAATAGGAAAGGAGATGAGAAGGAAAGACAAGCAGAGGGAAGAGGAGGGAAAGTAGATTCCAAAGACTTCGTAGAGTAAGGTAGCGAGATTGATCCGCTGTGATTGGCTCGGCCAAATGGCGTCTCGTAAAAACGCTCGGAAATTATTCGCAAGCGCGTAATAACGCTGGCGTTAAATAATAATTTCTCGTCGCCGTCGAGCGCAAGCACTGCGCGGATTCCGATAATACGGAATGTTCATAAGAACGCATCAAGCTCCGCCAGATTTTCTTCTTTTCTTTCTGTTCTTTCTTTTATCATCGTTACTCGTTACCGTTGTTTTTTTTGTAGTTTCATGCGATGACTTATATACATTGCCAGCCAGGTGGTAAATGCAGCGTGTATTTAAGCTCACTTTTATAGTATCCTGGGACTTACTAAGAGTGATAGTAACTCTTATGTTGTGTGACGGTATATCTTTGCGATCAGAAAGGCGCGAGGTACTTGCGGGATAAAACTTCAATGTTTCTAAGATATCGGTAATATATCCTTACTTTTATAATTTGTTTCTACGTACTTTAATACATCCGATAAGTGAAAGATAGAAGCATCTTCGTTTATAAATCGGTAAACACTGATTCGAATTTTTTCCGGCGTAAGCTTTGGTAGAGCTACCCATTGTCTGTAAGAAATTATATATTTATGAAGACACGTTCAATGCAAACAGAAGAAATTAATTTTTCAAAGATAATAAATTTGCAATTATTCTCCATTTCTTTTTATTAAATACATTTTTTTCATCTGCTCTTGCACTTCGTTTTATGAAAGAGAAATATTCCTAGTTATTTTATAAAATATACAGGATGTCCAACGTAACGGTTGTGGGGTGCGTTTTCAATTGTTTCGCGTAGGCTTCAACTTGCAGTGGCGAGAGGTAAGAGAATATTTATTTCAAACAGAAATCGAGGTCATCTTGAAATTTTTAAATGGTGTCACGTACTCTTTTCTTGCATATAATATATCACATTTGTGATAGTGCATTAAACTCACCTTCGAAGTCCTCTACAATATTATGTAAAGAAGAAAGTATGGTGTCATTTTTTGGTAGATTCAGAGTGACCTTGATTTTTTTATGAAAAAAAATATTTTTTTATCTTTTGTCATTGCAAGCTGTAATTTACATGAAATGGTCGAGAATTGATCTTGCAACCGTTTTCTTAAACCGTCGAAAGTATTTAAAAAATCGTGCAAACTATTACACAGAACATCCTGTATGATTAACATCATTCACTTCGGAGAGTAAGAAAAATCACTTTCAGATAAAAATTATCCGCGAAGTGAACGCGAAGTGAACGTTTTAATATTCATTTATAAATACAAAATATAATATTTCTGATTTAGTTTTCAATATTATATTCAATATTATATTTTCAGTATTACGTTAAATTTTAGTTAGTGTTTTTGGTAGATCAGTGTCGCTGATACTAGTTTCGTACTCGTAAAATTTTGTTAAAATCAGCATAAAAAATATAGTATAATATATAATAACGTATTTATACTTACATGCATTTGCGTACTAGAGTGATGTTGTCAATCTGCGGGTCATAATTGGCGAAAAACTCGGGAATCAAGGTACGAAGTGTATATTGCGAATCTAAACGTTTTTTAGCTTTCTCTAGATCCAATTTTGAAGATAAAAGGGTGAACCGTAATCGATTATCTGAGATGTCTGCGCGAAATGTAGAATTATGTTTATTATTATGGTATATTAATGCATGTCATTCATTTTTAATAAGTTAGCATGTAATGATGGAATGTGTCATGGTAACTTGATCAGCTATTAATGATTGAATGGAGATAATCGACATCTGTGTTCCGCAAATCACGAAATAATTCGTTCTATTAAAGTTACATAGGAATTACTTTTTCCTTTTTTTAAATCTATCAATCACAATTATTTAGATATGTTTTGTTTGGACGCAATATGAACAATTAATCAGTAAGCTCCGTTTGAATTTTAAATACAAACCTTGAGGAAGATGAGCTTGTTGTTTCAACCATTGTCGAAATTTACCAAACTTCTCTTCATAGAGCTTTTTGTTCCCTTCAGCTATCTCCACTGCTTCTTCAATCATAATATTTTCTAATTTCATAATGTCCATGGATATTGTCCGCTCCTCACAGAATTATTTTACAATTACAATCTGAATTATTATTTCATATATTTTAAATTATCTTTTAACTCTCTTTAACGATCTTTTAAATTTATATAAAGATGTATTATTTAATTTCTTTGTTTATATATTTAATATATCTTTTTTTTATATTATAAATAATGATAATAATTACAATAGAACAACAGAGCAGCAGTAAAATGATGTTAATAAGTAAAACGTGAACGTTGAAACACTCTCATAAACTCGTCGTTGTGTCGTTTCTCGACTGACTAACTTTCACGGAGCGTGTCATCTGTCTCTTAGAAGTTACCTTCAGAATATGTTGTTTATATAATACCGTAGAAGTGAATGACGTAGAAATATATATTTAGAACATATTTCTTTGATGTTTTTACGTTATTCATTGGAATGAAATATATGTAATCTACATATCGAACGTTCGAACTTGAGTGGCAATAATTACTTTTTCCTATTTTCTTTTCTTTTTTGTTCCTTTCTTATTGGTCTAGCAACTGAGCCGTCGAGCAACCAGTTCGTTGAATGACTTATTGACGATTTACCAAACGCAACGTCATTAAGGTTAATTTTAATCTAATGATTATTTAATCACATAAATATAATTATCACATAAATATAATATAAATGTCATAATAATATGTCAGGGTTTAAGTTCACTGAATACAAATCCGATGTAAAAATTGACATCGGACAAATTGTAATAAAAAATAGTGTAAGTCCGACACGACAGACACATATTTAAGTGATGTATGAAACGATGATATAAATTAGTAGTAGTATTTCGAATAACCCTATGCCTGACGGATTGTTCATCGGATGTTTCATTGTTGCTTATTACTATCCTTTTTTGTTTTCTGTCATTTTGCTCGGTTTTTACCTGCAACCTTGCAGTGAGAACGCGCGTACAATTTATCTTCTTGTAAAATAACTGCGCGCAGGTATCGGTCTTGTAGTATCGTATGCAATTATGTAAAAACTATGCTAATAGAAATTGCATGGAAACTCTTTTTATAACACCGGTAAGAAGGTTGAGAAGACTGAAACAAGGGGTCAAAGTAGAGCGCGCGATCGCGAAGGAGAACGGCTTCTCTGTGATTTGGCGAGAACGGCTGGGTAGACTGGAAGGAGGAATCTTGCTAGCGAAAGGCGGATACAGTCATAATAAAAAAAAGCGTGCGCATTATATATGCAAGTGCAAGACTAAATAAGCCACAAACAAACACAACACAAGCAAATTAAGTCAACTAAAATCGATGACATCATATACAATTATGGCCGTAATATTTGTTTTTTCGGGATTGGTTATCTTTTATTTTGTTAATTTGTTCTTATTTGTTTGTTAGTTTTTTAATATTCATTCATTCTTCAATGTTTTCGCGTTTGTCTAATAGACTACTCCAATAATTTAATAGTTTTTAGAAAAGTTGTCTATGTTAAATTAACCGATTGTTAATTGATAGCATAATCAAAGTTGTAATAAGCGATTACTCTAAGCGATTATGAACGTGAAAATGGCGATCTCTCGAGAGATTACATCTGTAATATATACTCGTATTATATATAATATTTCACATTTTTCTTTTTTATGCTATTTGTATCCTGTGTTCGATTTGTTTCTGCGCAGTATAAACACATAGTTGCATATTTAATGAAGATACATTTAATTAAGCTGGAAACTCAAACAGCTGCTTAGAGATCATGCGGAAATATAATGTTTTTATAGCACCAAATAAAATAGTCAATTTTTTATGTATATATAGACTCTCTATTTATGTTCTTATATTTTATATTCTTGGTAAAACTCCTGTTCAGGGGACCGACTCCGATTACCTTGTCTGTTAGATATATTATCAAGGAGACCCTCCGAGTCACAATCAAAAGATTTATTCGCTCCTTTTATTTGCTCTATTGGCCATTTATTGGCTCTATTATTTATTCGGATAAATGGCGTGCCTACGATGCTCTATCCAATGATAAGAACTACACACACGAAACTGTAAATCGTTCGGTTAATTTTGTGAATCCAGAAACAGGTGTTTACACACAAAATATAGAAAGATTATGGAGAGATATGAGAGCAAATATTCCTCGCTACGGCACGCGCGATTATTACTTCACACATTATTTAGCAGAATTTTTATTTAAAATAATACATAATTTTGATATCCGTATTGATACTTTCTTTAAAATAATGAGTTTAATGCATCCCTTAAATAATCCAAGTGATGAATAAATTTTTTTGTGTATACATCCACTATGTGTCACATTGTAATTACAGTATGTAATTTTTCAAGGATTTCTTTTCTTCGTATGTCACTCATTGTTTATTAAAATATTAGGTAAAACTCCTGTTTAGGGGATCCATTTTAGAAAGCTATAGATAAATGAAATTTTATAGATATAACCCATTTTCTTTAGACACAATATACATTAAACAATGTTAAACAGTACATATAAGCGGGAGAGCGGCTTCGCCCCTCCCCAAACAAATTCCAACCTAACCTAACTTACTGCATCTTTATATATTTTTGGACATTGTTGTTCTCGTAAGATTTGTCACCTAACCCAATTCAACTTATATCTGTATACAATTTGGTGTCGTGGATTTTAAGGAAATCTTTTCATATAAAGATGCAATAAGTTAAGTTAGATTGGGATAGGATTTATTCGGGAGGGGGTGTGGGGGAGGGGCGAAGCCTCTCTCCCGCTTATATGTACATTTCTATATATACACTGTGTTTGGATTAACCGTATGAAAAAATTTATGAAACTTCATTTGTTCATAACTTTGTTATAAACAATGCACGGGTTAAAACTTTCAGAATATTACTCATTACAGAACAACATTATAGAACCTTGATAACATATGTGAAAATTATTGACATCGGGAGGTGGTCCCTATTTCTGCATAATTACCAAAAAAAATTTTTTGCGACTAAAAAGATCAAATGAAGTAGGTCAGTAGTACGATGAATACATTCATGTATAGGACATGTATAGCATGTGCTCATTCCTTAGGTATGTACATAGTGTTGGAAAATTACATTCTATTTATGAAATTCCTTTTGTTAATTATTTTGTAATAAACAATGAGCGACGGCTAAAACCTTTTGATTGTGACTGCTTGATAATATATCTGACAGACAAGATCATCGGAGGTGGGTCCCCTGAACAGAAGTTTTACCATATTCTTATATATTCATATTAATGTTTTAGTACATTTATGAATATCGCATAGTCCATAAATCTTTCTCTTGCAATATATCACTCTTTATACATACATATATATATATATATATATACGAGTATATTCTTTCTTTTACTTCCACTTTTATATCAATATTGAAGAACACAATTCGTTGCAGATATAGGCGCGACTAATCAGTTTGTCTTAAATAAGTGTGTTCTAAAAATTACATAGGTTATAATAATTTATAATGACGGAATTGATTTCCATTTTCATGCAAATAACCTAAGCCCAGTTCTTTCCCTCAATATCGTGCACATCGTAAGAACGCTACGGGTATTATCAGGCAGGTACGGGTTTCATGTTCCCTCATTTGAGATTTCAGAAAAAGAGAAAAAAAGAATAAACATGGAATAACGCTCTGTTAAGAAATTAATACTCTCTGTATCTGATTTTCATAACCATTGGAAAGAGGATCAAAGTTAACAAGAGATTAGAGATAGCTTTTATATAAGTAGCTCCTTTAAGACTTTTTTAGATTTTAGATATTTAGATTAGGTAGATTAGTTTAGAAATGATTAGATTCGAATTTTTAACTCCGCGATTTAATGGAAAATTTATTTTTGTTGAAAGTTACTTATGATTTAACCTGATATTGCTCCGTTTACGCCACTAGTAACAATTATCGTACAATTATCAGCAATTATTGGAATATGTATTCATTACCGTTAATTATCATTACCTCGTAATAAATACACTGTCTTTATCCGCTACTTCAACTTACCTCGCGAGACTTTTAATTAGAAGTTTCACGGTAAATGCGATCCGATCCAACGTGATCCCGTAGACTGCTTAACGTGATAGTAATTTCGCAGGAACGAAGTTTTGGTCGTGGGCATGAAGGCTACCATGGTCGATGCGGTCTTATAGTCCCGGTTATCGTGAATGGCCGCTAAAAAAAAAGGAAAGAAATCGGGGTCGCAGAATGGCGGTTATCGTTTCCAGAGAACCCGGTCGGTGCAACTGGTTTTGGCTCGGTCATACGGTTAATGAAGGAGGTTACCCTCAGCAAAGGTTAATGGCACAATGGTGGGTCGCGTTTTCATCGTCTTGGTCATTTCAAAGGACCACCTGCCCTTTATAGCTCCGAATTTCTGAAGCATATTGCATGTAATCTCGGACGCGCACGTAGTGATTTATTGACATCGCGCGAGTCAAGTTAGTTAAACAACGTTGCACATTAATTAAAGTCTGAAGCGTGCGCTCATGACGCGCGCATGTACCAGTAAAACAGAAGACAATGTCGAGTCCCCGCAGCCAGGGGTATATCGATCTCAGCGCCCGAAATATTACCAAATAATCCGTTACCACGAAATCCAGACAAGAAGGCCGTTAGTCGCGCGTATTTCGTTTTAGTCTTAGATCGGCAAATTGAATAGTGTCACGGATTTATGGAATATACGGGAGCTCGTGTTATCTGCACTGTCACGACAGAGTCGCTAATGCACAAAGCATCGTTGGATCGAATCAAATTATCGCGGGAAAATGCGTTATATGCGTAGGGATAAGCAGGAACCGCCACTTGTAACGGTTATTGCTAATTACTTGGAATATCAAGCGTATCGAGAGCTCGATTGAGTGGCTCTTCAACCATTGAGCAGCACACGGGAGTCTTGTCGGTACGATGCACCTGTCACGTTCATTGGCCGGTGCGTGTATAACAAGCTACGTACACGCTCGGTACATCCGTGTTCCCTCATTGTTGCAGTCCGGCGAAAATGTTGTCAGCAGTCATTTTTCACGACCGCGCGCAACCGGGAAATTGCTACATCTCGCAGCTTTTGAGTTATGTCCTTTTCTCTACGGTCACCACACGTACAGTCGATTTCCTTCAT